CCTAGAGAAAGACTGAAGAATGAGGAAACCATTTGAAGGTACAAAATGCTAATATAACATCTCGAAAGTTGTCTCAGTGGTTAACAGCACTTGGTGCACTTCAGAAGACCTGAGTTTGGTTCCCAGACCCCATATCAGGCTACTCAGAGTCACCTGTAACTTCAGCTCTAGGAGAACCAATGCCTTTGTCTTCTGAGGACATCTGCATTCATGTACACATAATCCAATTCAAACACACACCTACATATAACTGAAAGTAAGTCTTTGAAAAATAGGAAATATTAAGATAACAAAATATGCTAATGATTTTGTCACCTCCAGTACAGCATTTCCTCAGAGAATTAGGACCAGAATTCCTGGGTGATAAACATACCTTTTCCAAGAGGTAGGCTTGGCAACCAAAGGGTAATTTCTCAGACATAGCTGCTGAGGTAAGAAACTCAAACTGAAGTGATAACTCCTGGGCATATACCCAAAGGACACTCCACCATACCATAAGGATGCTTGCACAACTATGTTCATAGCAACTTTAGTCATAATAGTCACAAACTGGAAATATTTACATGATGGAGTATTACTCAGCTGTTAAAAACACTGGGGAATTTGCTGACAAATGAATGGAACTAGAAAAGATAAGCATGAGTGAGATAAATCCAACCCAGAAAGACAAACATGATTGGTGCCCAGTCCAGTTGTCATCCGAGAGGCTTCATCCAGCAACTGATGGAAACAGATGCACCCACAGCCAAACACAAGGTAGAGCTTTGGGGAGTCCTTTTGAAGAGGGGGAGAAAGGATTGTAGGACCCAATGGTGTCAAGGACAGCACAAGGAGACCCACAGAACCAACTAACCTGGGCTCACAGGGGTTCACAAAGGCTGAACTGACAACCAGGCAGCTGGCATGGGACTAACCTAGGCCCTCTGCATATGTGTTGCAGTTGTGTAGCTTGGTCTTCTTGTGGGACTTCTAGCAGTGAGAATGCGGGCTGTCTGACTCCATTGCCTACTTTGGGGCCTTTCCCTCCTGCCGAATTGCCTCACCCAGCCTTAATAAGAGAGGAGGTGTCTAGTGTCACTGCAATTTGATATGTCATGGCTCCCTAATATCCATGGAATACTTGCTCTTTTCTAAGAGAAACATAGGAGGAGGAGGAGTGGGTCAATGGGGAGGGGATGTGGAAGGAGACTGAGAAGAGAGAAAGGAGGGGAAGCTTTGGTTAGGATATAAAAACAAGAAAAACAAACAAATAAATAAAAAGAAAGGGAGGCCAAACATGAGTGATAAATCATTTCAAGACATTCTGAGATCATCGAGAACTAAGCCTTTATTAAGAGCCTAGAGGGGATTCTCACACTGGGGAGAATATGTGAACCATCCATCCACACTTCAGAAAAAGAAGACTAGTGAGACATGTGACAGACCTAGGGACAATTTGATCAGGGTCAGGAAGTCACCTTCTGGGTCACTTGTGAAGGCTGAGCAAAATGAGCATGGTCCCATAGTTCACCAGTGAAGTAGGAATGAGAGGCTCTCTGGGGGTCCCCTCCCCCATCCCATGTCAGTGGGAGACAACTGAGAAACCCTATAGTAGGGATGAAGTGTGGCCCAGGTGACTGGGGATAGTAATGGTATCATATGCAAAATGTGTGTTGAGGGAGCATGCATGTAGTAAAAAAAAATCTTTCCAGTAATATATTTTTGTTCATTAAATAAATGCAAGATACTATGTTATATAGGGTACGTGTGGGGTGTTGTATGCATGTGTGTGGGCAGGGACATATTAACATGTGTGCCTATGGAATGAAGGGCAGAGGTTGACATTGGCTGTTTTCCTTAGCCATGCTCTGCTTTATAAATAATGGCAGTCTTGCACTTGAACTAGGGTGGCTTGCTGCTTTGTCCTTGGGCTACTGTTTCTGCCAACAAGCTGTCTGTCACGCATGCTCATTCCACATTTACATGAGTGCTGGGGATCCAAACTCTGGTCCTTGTACTTGCATAGCAATAACTTTTACCACTGAACCATGTCATCAGTCCCATGCTATAGTGTTTGTATAGGAAAATACAGAGAAGGCTAAAAGAATAACACATTAACCCAACAGTTCTGCATGAGTACTGACTGAGTATAAGAAATGAATGTGGAATCATAAAAATGATTGGTCTGTTAAAGTAGTGTGACAAGGGGATTTTCCTTTCTTTTGATTTCTATTTTGCAGTGATTTCTTCTAAACTTTAAGATGGAAATATACAGGTGAAAGAGTTATAATCAACTGAGAAATTTAGACTGTAGGGGCTGGAGAGATGGTTCAGAGGTTAAGGGCACTGGCTGCTCTTCCAGAGGTCCTGTGTTCAATTCCCCAGCAACCACATGGTGCCTTACAACCATCCGTAATGAGATCTGGTGCCCTCTTCTGGTGTGAAGGCATCCATGCAGCTTGAACACTGTATATGTGATAAATCTTTAAAAAAAATTAGACTGTAATTTCACATATGTTAACATTATGCACATTGTGAGATTTTTCTTTTGTATTTTTAAAGGTTAATTAAAAACTTATAGTTAGTAAAATTAATAGTATGTGTGTTCCTTTATGTATACTATTCCTATCATGCGTATATTGGTGCCAGCTAAGCCAGAAGAGGGTGTCAGATTCCTAGGAACTGAAATTGAAAGCTGTTGTAAGCCATTTAATGTGGATTCTGGGACCTTAACCTAGGTCCTCTACAAGAGCAGCTCGTGTGCTCTAACTGCTGGCCCGTCTCTCCAGCCACTTGTGAGTACTTTTGCTCTTTTTCGTTTTCAACTTCTTTTTAATTTATTGTTTGTGTCTTCCCCATCATGCATCTTGATCCCATTCATTTCCCCATCCCTTTGTATCTTCCCTCTGCCCTTGCAACCTTGTCCCTCCCAACCATGAAAGCTGTAGTGTGACTCAGTGAGTCAGACAGTAAATTCTTTTATCCATATGTCTTTACTTGCAAGTGTTCATTGCAAAGAGTCCTTGGTCTGGTTCTAGGCCTCTGGTTTCTGCTACACTATCGATGCTGGGCTCTCACTGGGACTCCTCTTGGATACCCTATTGTTGCTGTGTGTTGTGGAGATCCTGCAGCTTTGGGTCGGCATGACCAGGCCCTTTACATGCTTCAGCAGATAATAGATGGAGTGGTTATTGGGGTGGGCCAACTCATAACTCTGGTTGTGGGCCTGGGTGGTGGCAGGGTTGGTCACACATCCAGTTCTCCCTGTCCTCGCCGCCAGGGTGAGCTCTCCAGCATTGCCCCAGAGGGTTCACTCCTTGAATCAATGAGCAAGGGCCAGGGCCAGGGCCAGTTCTGATTTCACACCCTCAGGGTCAGCTCTCCCATACCTACACCATCAGGGCCAGCTCTGCTGTGTTGCCCAAGCGAGGTGCACGAGGGGCAAGGAGTGGGGAGTTGGGGAAGGTGGGGGGTGAGGGGTGGGGAGGGCATCATAAGGCAGATGAGGGGTTGGGCGGGATCTCTCCTGCTCACGTTCTCAGGCTACTTCATCTGCACCCACTAGGATCAGCTCTACTCTGCTGTCCAGGCAAGGTGCAGGGCCTATTTCCCGAATGCGGCAGCTGGTAAGGAAGGAGGGTAACCCATCTGCCCACCACAGGTGGCAGGGGCAAATGGGGAGGGCATTTTCCATCCCTCTTACCACCACAAGGAAAAGTGGTACCGGCTATGCCCCTCTCGTGCCCTCAGGGCTGGCTTACCCACATCCCTGTCTATAGTGCTGCCCAGGGGAGGTGCAGGGCACATTCTCCGGAGCGCTGCAGCTGGTGAGGGGCTACACTTTTGTTCGTAAGGACGAGATTTAAAAGGTTCTGCATTCCGTCATGTAACTAGACCATAAATGATTCAAAAACATCTTATTGTGTACTTTTAGCTTATTCTGTGTCTTAGGAAGACCGTTAAAGCTATATTCATTACCAGCACACATCGAGTTTGTATGGATTTCTATCACATCTGTGAGGAAAGTGCTTTGGAGAAACGTTGCATGATAAAAGGGTCTACACTATTTTCAAGATTTAGTACTTTGGCTGGGTTGTATTCTGAAAATACATATTTTGTACTTGAAGGAGAGATGTTTGAAAAGGGGATGAGGGGGTAACTGGGGAGGAATAAGAGTAAGGGTAAATTGATCTCATAAGAGAGGTTTGTCTCTGAGCTGGGACTGGTAGGAAAGGAAGTTATGGCTCAGCAATAGAATGGGCAGGGTTGAAGGAGTAAGAGTGTAGCTCAGCAGTAGAATAGGTGGGGTGGGGGAGTAAGAGATATGAAGGTAGAAAGGGGGAAGTAGACATAGGGAGCGAGAGCGGAGAAGAGTAGAGAGGGGAGAGAAGATGGAGGGAGAAAGGGGGGAGAGGCTATTTCAGGAGAAACCAGAGCTATGAGCCTGAATCTATGAGAGGGGACTGAGAATAGTCCTGCACGTGGTATTTAAGGGTAAAGGAAACAGCACATGAAAGAAGTTCATTAAATATATCTGGACCTTACAGACTGTTTTCTAAGGTAGTTTCTTAGCATCCTTGTCATCAATGAGGTAATTATATGCTTTCACACTTTTGGTACCTCATGATAAAGCAAGATGCTTCTCCCCTCATCTTTGGCATAGGGAAGACCCCACAGAATTGGCTGCAGCAAGACTCCATGAAGCCAACAGTGCTAGACAAGAGAAGGACAGTTTGTACAAAATAAAGTGACTCAATCTCAGAATTCACATTTCTGTCATTTATTTATTACAAGCATAAGGGGATTTTCAGAAGTTTCTTCTCAAAGGGTTACTCAGCTCCCAGTCCAGATCCACAAATTGCAAGTGATTGCAAGGCCTGTGATTGAGACATGAAAATTATGTAGCAAGTAGTGGCAAGCCGAGTCCACTGGGACACACACACACTAACGCTCAATCAAGATGCTTCACTAAAATGTGTGTAATTTCCACACTAGTCAGTTTCTTCAGACACCTTATTAACATGGCCAGCAGAATGATATGCTTGGCTCTAGGATTTCTTGCATTTTTATGGGCTGAATTGGGAGCTCAAGACAAAACAACGGAGGAACACCAATGCAGGTTGATGGCCAAGTTTAATTTGTCTGGATATGTAGATGCCAAAAACCATTCACTTGTTATTGCAGGACTGTTTCCTATTCACTCCAGGATCATCCCTGTAGATGAATCTATTTTGGAGCCAGTATCACCCATGTGTGAAGGGTAAGCCATTCTTTAGTCTTCTTTTTTTTTTTGTTAATTCAGACAGTGGGGAGGAGTGGTGATCATGGGGCTTGAGTCTCCAGCTGGAGTCGTGATGCTGTACAGAATAGTTGCTCCTCACAGAGTGCTCTGTGGTTCAGTAGAGCAGCAGCAGCAATATGTAAGAGCTTGTTAGGCATGTAGAGTTAGGGGCTGCATTCCAGACTTACAGAAGGAGAACCTATGTTTTGTGAAGACTCCTGTTGATTCATGTGCACACAGAGGTTTGAGAAGCACAGTTGCAGAATTGTGTAGCACTGCAGCCTTACTGTTAATTTGCAAAGATAAACCTCTCTCCAGGAGAAGCACACTGCAGGGGAGACTGGTTTATCTGAGCAAGACCTACCCTGCTGGATTTTGCCCTTAGTGTTTGTACCTCTAAGTTGCCTCCTCAGAAAATAGGATCCATGTCTGGCAGTAAAATTTGCCAGCAATCAGTTGTGAGAGATGCAAAGCATGGATAGGACAATTATCTGTACATAATACACACACACACACACACACACACACACACACACACACTTACACACACCCCACAACCACTTCAGTATGAAAAGAATGCCACAAATTGAAGAAAGTAAAGCAAATTACCAACAACCTATTGTTATCAGAAAGCAACTTTTCATTTGTCTGTATCATTCTTATATATTATATATATATAAGGATATACATATATCCTTAAATAGTCATAACTGTAACACAAGCACTGTTTTAGATGGGCCTTTTACCTAACACACTAGGCATTTCCGTGAAGCTTCATGGCCATTAGAGTTGTCAGTGCACATTGTAAACATTTAGCAGTTTCTGACAGCTTCACATCTTCACTGATCACAACTTCTTTCCTTTGAAATGTTTCACACTCCATATTTGAGGTGTCATTGTGTGAAGGGTAATAATCATCTCCACATCTTCAGAAAGTACAAAGGTGTACAATGAATCCCTTCCTCAAGCCGGGGATTGTTTCCCACTCTTGCAATGAAGGAAAGGGAATGGAGGAAGAAGACATGGGATTTTATTTACAAATAGATTATTGTAGAGTCAAGTTTTACTTATAACAGGAGTTTCCACTTCTTTAATCCCCAAATAATCTGAAATGAAAACTTAGCATTCACTATAATTTAACACATTGGTATTTTATAAATGGAATTACTTAATTCGTTCTCCACTCTTTGCTGGAACTTCTGAAGGTTTCTCTCCAAGCAATGTTAGATGGTAAAGACAATACACAGATTTTAAAATATGAATTTTCCTCCCTTAAAATAATGTTATTACACCATAGTTGAAACAGTAGAGATATGTGCTATTTAAAATAATTATGTGTTATTTAAAATAATTCCCCAGTTAGGGTTATTTTGGGATTTATGTAATCATTGAATTAGGATTTGAGTGGCCACATCTTGGACTTATGCTAAAAAATTACATTTCTTTAAAATTTATCTTTATGATGATTTTCCACCAGTATCTGTCAATAGTTCCTTCTGTCTATCCATCCCCAGTGTTCACCAAACCTCTTAACTATTCTTCCATAGGATTCAACTTTTACTTCCAATAGTCTATGTAGTATTCAAAATCCAGTGTCAAACAAAGCAATATTAATTTTATTTTTTGAGTCATAAACTTTAACTAACTCAGAACTCCAATATGGGCTTTGGAGAAACTTTATTCTGAAACAAACAACTTTAACACAATAGCAATTTCAGTAGTCCACTGTTAAAAGTTCATAAAACAGGAAGACTGTATTAAAAACAGGAAGACTGTATTATTTTGAAAATGTTGCTCAGAATAGAGGAAAATAATGAAATGGAGAAAAGAAAGGGGTATTAAAGTTTTGTTTTATAGTCATAAAATGTTATGAAATATTGTGAATCTCATAATGAAAATTAATGAATGAAGGAAACTACCACAAATCCCATCTTTTTAATAATTATCCTCTGATGATTTAAAATGATTTCCCTGTTAATTCTTAAAATACCTCATATGAAGCTTTAAGTATAGAAAGTGTTCATATTGCTTGTTTCACTCATAATTGTGTTCTCACTACTGTATCATTTCTTGGATGGTTGTTTTGTAACGATGGAAAATATTCTCATACTGCTGAGGCGCTATCAGTGGACATATTAGTTTGTTCTAGTTTTCTAGTAATCTCTGGGGGCTGGAGCAATGGCTCATTAGTTAAGAGCATCGGCTGCTCTTCCAGAGGACCTGGTTTCAATTCCTAGCACCCACATGGGAGCTCACAACTGTCTATAATTCTAGTTCCAGGGAACCCTACACTTTCACACAGATATACAAGCAAGTAAAACACCAATAAAAATAATTAAAAACCCTCTGTACTGCCCTTTGGGGTAGACAGTTTTCTTCATTAGAGTTGCTTTCTCAGCTGACTTCTCAAGTGCTGGAGTTACTGGTTCAAAGCAGGCAAATATTTTTCTAGCTCTTGAAGTGAATTTTTAACCTTACTTTAAAAAAAAAGACACTGCTACATTTATTTCAAAAGTTTGATGATGTCACTGTTGTTAATCTGGAAACAGCAACCTGGGCTGGTGCAGGTTCTGTGCTGTGGAGTCTGCTGCCCTCTTGTCTCCTTCACTGTGCTGCTCCAACTGAGCCCTCCCCCTCCTCTAATCACATCACTCTTTCCATTCCTTGAACTAACTAATGTGTTCCCTTATCATAGAGCCTCAACTCATCCAGCTCCTTGTGTTTGGTTCCCTTCTATTTCCCTGTCATCTTTTAATCTTCAGCATGCCTGTGAGTTCCTCCATGGCTGGGTGTCCCTTTGTTCCTCATCTACTCATACAGATGCCTTTACCATCTTGTGCTGTAACTGTTTGGCTATTTTTCTGTTTCATAACCAGAAAGTGCTATGTTTATTCTTTTACTGTTGTGTTATATTGTTTTGAGAAACAAAAGACCTACCTCCTATATGAAAATTCAATCAAAGTGATATGGAAGAAAATTCCAATGTTCCAAAAGGGTTATTTGTTGTTGAATATTGTTTTAATTATTACATTTATTTATTTTTTATGTTTGAATGTCTTGCCTGCATGTTTCTATGTGCACCATGTACATGTTTGGAGCCTGTGGAGGCCAGAGGTGGGTATCAGATCCTCTAGAACTGGAGTTATGAATGGTTGTGAGCCTCCATGTGGGTGCTGAGAATTAAACCTGGATGTTCTGTAAAAGCAACAGTGCTCTTAAATGCTGATCCATCTCTCCAGCTTCCTGTGGTTGGGTATTTAATAAAATAATTACTGAAAACACCAAGTTAGATACCTACAGAAGACTTTAAGGCATAAAGTAATTAATATTGGAGTACTTGCCTTTAGTATGTTAAAATGTAGTTTAACACTGAAGAGAGAAAGAAGAAAATAGAAGAGTTATTTGTTATTAGAGGAGGAATTGAAAAAATGTGATATTGAACTGCAACACCTATTTTAATGGCTAGAGAATTAAAAGGATGATGTATCATAATAAATATCTCAGAAGAAGGACTATGCAATTGGAGTTGTATTACATAATTTTTGTACTTTTTGTACTCCTGCTTTAAGTGTCCTAATGTATTTTAGTGGTTTTCTTAATTGTATAAAATAATTTTATTTATTTATTTATCTTTTTGTTTGTTTTTATATGCTGACCACAGTTTCCCCTCCCTCCTTTCCTTCCAGCCCCCCCATCCTCATCCACTCCTCTTCCTCCCCTGTTTCTCTTCAGAAAAGGGCAGGACTCCCTTGGATATCAGGCAGCCATGATATATCAAGTTGCAGTGAGACTAGGTGCCTCCTCTCCTATTAAGGCTGGATGAGACAATCTCGGAGGAGGAAAGGGCCACAAAATCAGGCAACAGAGACAGAGACAGTCATGCTTTCATTGTTAGGAGTCCCACAAGAAGACCAAGTTACACAACTGTAACATATATGCAGAGGGCCTAGGTCAGTCCCATGAAGGCTTGTGGGTTCAGTCTCTGTGAGCTCCTATGAGCCCAGGTTAGTTGGTTTCCTTGTGGTGTCCTTGACACTACTGGGCCCTACAAACCTTCCTCCCCCTCTTCCACAGAATTCCTGGAGGTTCACCTAACGTTTGGCTGCAGGTCTCTGCATCTTTTTCTATCAGTTGTTGGGTGAAACCTCTCTGATGACAGTTGGGCTAGGCACAAGTCTGTTTTTCTGCTCTTAATCTATGTTAGTCATTTTTATAATCATTTCTAATGTTCAGAAGAACACAGGTCAAGGTAAGGAAAAGAATCATATGGTCCCAGGGACTTCCCATGAGAGGGGAAAATGAGGAACTGTTTGTTGCTGAGGAGAATTCTGACTAGAAGTATATTTTTGTGACAAAGAGATAATTGGCCATTTGAGAACATCACAGCATGTAAATATATATATATATATATATATATATATATA